AAGGGGGGGGGGGGGGGGGGGGTGTGGAAACACAGTAGAAGACGACTCATGAGAAAGTCAGGTTTCTGACACCCTAAAAATATTCATAGCAGCAGACACAAAACCCTTCATCCTCACTGCTTCAGACAGTAACTAAACATCAAACATTTGTCAACTTCCTGGCTGTCATGCTGACTCCTTATTGAAAGGCTCTCAGAAAACAGTCTGCTGCTTCAAAAGATCCATTTACCCAGGGGATAATCATACAAAATGGGGTTTCTTCCTGGTGTTTGAAGTGGCAGCTGCCAGATACTAGCAAAATCTTCTCCCCTTGGAAACTGGTCTTCAGGCAACACTTACCTACCAGATTGCATCTGCTACAAGGATATTTTCCTTACTAAGGCAAACCACCCAGCTCAAGTTTTAAGGCCTTAGAAGTTCATTGATTTCAAGGCCAAACACATTGTCTACGCCTGTAGCCTGACCTCTGGTAACTTCTGTTTTAAATACATCACTTAAGGTGTGTAAGTGCTTCTGTAGCAGATTGGGCTCATCTTAAATCACCAACCACCTCCATGCAAAGCACAATGCCTTCAACCAGCCCCTGCATACACAATCCTTTTGCACTTTTTTGTTACTGTAAATCCCTTTTTCACCCCCAAATAGAAAAGATACTAAAATATGCAAGGCCTACAGTGAATTCTACTACTGACATATCCCAAAGTAGGAACAAAACCGAACATCATTCAGTTTAAAGGGGTAGGTCTCCCTTGTAAGAATGTGCTGTTGTTTCAGAAAAATAAAAGGAGAAAAACTTAACAAGAGTTCACACTGCTCACCAGCTGGAAGATAGAAGAACCAAGAAGCAAACAACAGCTACCAAGGCCAGCATAATCCCATGAGAGGGCTACAGCTGCTTTGTCTTCCCAAATTTAAGAGGTCAGAGCCCACTGGGAAAAGATTATTTTGCCTTAGGAAGGGTTAGATAGAAACTAAGAAAAGTATTTTTGCTGTGTGCTATCACTCTAGCTTAAGTCTGATTTTCCTCATTTTGGGAAAGCCATAACAAAAAGTGTGCAAGCCTCCTTTTAATACTTATCCCAATTCTTAGTGTTACAGAGAGGTTCAACCCAGTTTCACCTGAGAATACTGAAGCAGACCTAGTAAAGGCTTAAGTTATTTTAACAGAGACCTGATGAGTTCCAGGTGTGCAAGTCACCTGATACTTTCTAATTGACCTCAGTTCTTTCCCTCCCATTTCTCTTTGATATCCTGCATCTATATCATTTACTGTGTTTTAGCAGTACTGCTCACTGGCATGTCATGTGAGAAATGTAGTCAGATCTCTGAATGAGCAATGCAATAGCAGAGAAGGACATAAGAACTAGGGTAGTATCTGAGCATCATTACTATTTCTTTACAGTATGAAACGGTTTGGGTTGCACAAAGGGAACACCATTCTCTTTCTCCCTTGCACTGAGGTTTTATAAAGTCCTAAATCCTGGTAGTGGCCATGTAAAAACATGCTGCCTGCGACCATGTTATTTCGAAGGGGGAAACCTACCTTATCCCTGTTCCTGCTGCAATCTCCTCACCTAGATGAATTAGCTCTCTCTCACATATGCACCCTTTTTGTCATTTGTATCAGTCCAAATTGTTGACAGGTAAAATGGGGGTCACTGCAGAACAGCTCCTGCCTTTTCAGAGACCCAGTTTTAGGAGCCTTCAGTACCCAAACTGGAGAAGGGGTATGCAGAAAGAATAATCTAGGAGAAAGATGAGCTTTTCCAAACAATTCAAGTAGATGGTAAGGAGGTGCCACTGTACTCCCTCTTACTCTAGTCCCGTAATATATTTTTATTTATCATTTCTTCACTGGATTGGCTGCTTTCTTGATAGTTATGGACTCTTCCCCATTTCACCTTTGAAACATGATAGTAAACCACTGAATCAGAAAATGTTTATGAACTAAAGTAAACTAAAAGAAGAGCTATATATCTTGAGCTCCTCTATTTGCCTCTGGTGTCTTTGCAAGTTTTCTCTTTTCCAGATCAACTGTATTCCTATTTTTATTCATTAATAAAATGTCTCCCTTCTATTGGTTGGGCTGTACCTATAAGTCAAGTGTGCTCCATGCCATGTTTGATTTAAGATTTTGTACTTGTATTTAAATGTGTTTAGCTGTAGACTTAAGTTCTCTGAACTTTCCCCCATAAAAGTCAGGGGCTTTTTAAAACACGGCACTCTAAAACCAGGTACAACTTATCATCCTATTTGAAAAGCTATAATGATTATGTCTATTGATTATTAAAAGGAATTTGTTGCTTTTAAAGGTTGAGTTTGCATAAAATCCCAGCTTGCTTTTTAGAATTATGGGATAAAGTCTTCTTTTGTTTTTCCAGAAAAAGTTTCAAAACATGCTTTCTATTTAATAAGTGATTAGGGAATATTTAAGAGTTTATTAAATTAACCCACCCCACAACAATTCAAGTTGACTCTCTCCAGCTACATCCCTTCCATCTTCTGCATAATAGTTACTCAAATGTCATTAACTAGATTTTCCACTTCTTTAATTTCCACTCTCTTGGTATTTTATAATTAAGGTGATTTACCATTCATGACCTAACTTTGATGAGCAACATCTACATAATGATGTGTTTATGCAAGCAAGTTTGTATCCCAACATTATTCCAAAAGTGGCTGGTATGTGTTTAGAGCAAAAAAAAAAAAAATAAAAATATTAGTTTACAGTAAAGCTATAGCCCCCTGTTTTGATCTCTCTCTCTCTATGAAGGGATGTGCTAACATGGCACATGGGGTTGAAGGCTGGAGAAAATTATCTGTTGAACTAAGCTGAAGCTTAAGTAGTAAGAGCGATGATCCTGTCAAAGTCAGGAGAATTTCAGATTTACTCCATATTTGGGCCATGACTTTGCAAGTGCTTATCTGGGTGTTTAATTTCACCATCATGTACAGACTCACCATTTTCCTCCTCTTTTATCCACCCTCCTCCATTTCAGGTCAGCACACATTTCAACAAACTTCTCTTCTCCCAATTTAACTACCTGATCAATTGGATTATCAAATGATGTTTATTAATAGTGTTATAAAAAAAAAAAAAAAAAAGAAAAACCCAAAAGA